CATTATACATATAAGATCACGGAATGGGCCAACACTCAGTAATTGTGAAAACAGTTATGCCGAATTTTCAAGTGGAATAAGTTCTATTCAGGAACTGCATGGGATGATAATTTCCACGTTTTCCTACCGCACACTCATCAGTAGCTCTGTTAATACAAAGAACTTTTTTATACTTTTCAACGACACTATCTCTCCCCAAATTTTTAACGTGACCTTTCCCTTCTTGCAGAGATCGCGTTTTCAAGTTTTCCGTTTGTCGCTTTTGAGATTGAGGACTAACAAGAAGGCCTTCATTAGCGCAGATTGGTGGCAGATTGCCCGATTAATCATACTCTAGGATGTTGTAGTTACTTATATAGGTTCTCTAACTTGTGTTCTTAATCGATGATATTTAATTATATTCTTGTGATGATATATAAAGTAGAAAACGATAGAAAAAAAATTTATCCAATTTTTTTGTGATGCTTCTCTATTGAACGGTTATATTCTCAACATCGGTAGTCATTTCAACATTGATAGTCATTAATTGGGGCGATTCATTATATGGTATAAACAGCCTTTATAGTCGCTGTTTAATGATGCGCTGAGTGTATTAGCACCAATTTTTTCTAGACAAGTAGCTGAAAAAGAAGAATCATTCATTCCATCAGTAAGACTCTCCATGACCATGGCTTTCCATGAAACTTCAACATTAAAATTCAACATCTGCTACCTTAGCTAATTGAGCAAAATTACCATAGGAACTTGAACCGACGATCAAGGAGCTCTGAGCTTTTTGAATTTTTTTTTACTATGATGGCACCCATCTCAATCGTGACCAAGCCCCACTGAGCTTTTCAGGATGCCAAAGCGGAAGTGAAGCCCGAATGTAAAAAAACATTTTGTTTACACTTTTTAAAATTTCAAAACAATAAAGAAAAGGATTAGGGAAATTATGCGTTGGGATTTATTTCTACTGACTGCATGCAGCTATTCTTCAAAAAATATTTGTACACAAAAAAACAGTGAAGGTGCGGTGAAATATTTCAAAGAAAATCGAGCGGATGAAAGGGATTCGGGAACTAGATAAAAAAAAGGAGTTCGGGAACTTGATGCTTTTGAAATTTAACAGCAGCAAGTGCTAGTAAGCCTCAACCATAGGCCGAAAGATTTATTTTCTACGACTTCCTATAATTTTGATATGAACTTTCCTATAGGGAGATTCCGACATGCATGGCACCTTTATCCAGATATTGGTGCAGGGTTTTGGCGAATAGAGAGAACTAAGAACTTTATTTGCAACAAAATGTATGGCCGAGGAATTCTTAGCTATACGGACTGGCATTCCACTCCGCGGCCCGTAACTGCAAGACGAAGAATAACTTGCATGGGCTTTTACTGGTTTTCATGCCAATTCCGACACAAATACACCCTGTTAGGCTCCAGTTGGGTCATTAGGGTACGTTTTAGGATTTTGTGAGTAAATTAATAAATAAAACGACAAATTTCGTACCTGTATATTTCGTACCGTATGTAAAATGGTACATTAATTTTTTTGGCGGTCCAAAAATTGTTAGGGCAGGTATTTTTGGTGGCCAGTATTTAAAAGTTCAAATGCACTAGCATAAAGTGAGTGATCATGCAGCTCTTTTCCCCTGGGCGATTCTCACGATGCGTGTTTCAGGTTATCAAAAACTGCAAACAGTATAGTCGCTGCACGAAAACAAAACAGTGACCAAATAAAATTTGTTATTCGCTCTGTTTTCAGAATGTTACACAGAATGCCTTAATCAGTTCATCCTTCCAAAAACGCCGGCCCTGACAACTATGGAATTGATACTAAAATTTTTGTAAACGGGGAGTACAGTCTAGACGTGTCTGAATATAATTCCGAGTGACACGAGAAGTTAATCTGAAATTATTATGTAATTGCGCGAATACCTTTGCGAAACAGTTTTTATGGCTGAACTGAGCTCCAGAACGGATAGAAATATGAAGATATAGATCTCTCAACAAAGCATACCCTTCATTACCAATTATATGATTCGCTTCTTTTGCAGTAAACTTCTTTTAGAAGACCTAAGAAGGGGCTATTAAAATGATAACCAAGCGATATGCAATTAAGCTAGCTGATGAGAACTAAAAGGTGATGCATTATTGCATTCATTTATTACATATTGTTTGTGTCAATTTCAAATATGTAAATAACACAATATTCCCTGATACAACCATTTTATATACTTCTCTCTTTATTTCGTTAGCCATTCCTCGTATGTATCCTTCCACCCCATGTATCCTTCACGCTGCTTTCTCGAGAAGAAAAAGGCTATACTCTCGTTTATCCGATTCACACCGTTGCAAGTCCATCCCAACATTTTTCATGCCATTTTTCTTTTCTCTTTTTATAGAGATCGCGTTTTCAGGTTTCACGTGTGCCGCTTTTAAACTCGACGACGAACAACCAGGCTTTTAAAAGTGTAGCTTGCATGATATTTCGTAACGCTTAAAGACCACAAGCCAAATTTCAATAACAAACCGGCCTGCCGACTCATCAACCCAGCAAAATCAGAATTAGGTAAAGTTAGCAAGCAACTTCTAGACCGCATCAACAAGAAAATCCTTAGCACGACAAATATTAATCAATGGAAGAACACAGCCGAAGTACTTAACTGGTTTAATAGCATAGACAATAAGCAACAATACGCATTTATCGCGTTCGACGTCGTAGATTTTTATCCTTCTATCACCATCGACCTGCTTAATAAAGCCTTGCTGTTTGCAGCTAATTATCTACACATTTCAGATGACGAGAAAAATATCATCCTACATGCTAAAAAATCTTATATGTTTAACAATGGCGAGCCATGGGTTAAGAAGGAATCGAGTAATAATAGGCATTTTGATGTTACAATGGGCAGCCACGACGGGGCGAAGACCTGCGAATTACTTGGAGCGTACATTCTACAACAAATTACGGAAAGATATGGCAACCATTTAGGTCTCTATAGAGACGATGGACTCGGAATTTCTAAAGAGTCACCGCGTAGAGTCGAGGCAATTAAAAAGGATCTCTGTGCTATCTTCAACAGCCACGGAATAAGAATAACTATAGAAGCCAAAAAACAAACCGTAAACTTCCTCGATGTCACTTTAAATCTAAGCACTGCATGGGAAATGCACGCCATATTCCAAACCCAACAACACGCCGCAGTACGTACACAATAAGTCCAACCATCCACCTGGGATTGTAAAAAATATACCCGAACCATAAATAAACGGCTACGCGAAATATCATCCGACGAAGATTCCTTTAATGATGGTGTATAAATGAAAGTGGATACCATCACATCCTCAAGTTTAAACCACCTAGCGCAAATGAGGGCAAAAGCCACGCAAGACATCGGGCAAGAAAAGTAATATGGTACAACCCGCCATATAACAAAGCTACTTCTTCGAATATTGGCCGAGATTTCCTACGGTTGATTGATGAGGAATTCCCAAAAGGCCACATACTAAATAAGATTTCAGTTCAATAGGAATACCATCAAGGTCAGCAATGGATGTATGACTAATGTCAAGCAAGCAATTGATGGACAGAACAAGACTATTCCAAACTACCAGACAACGGCCAAGAAAAATGAAAAACAATGTAATTGTAGAAAGCTTCGTGATTGCCCGGTGAATGGTCGAGGTCTAAATGAATCAGTAATACATCAAGCCACAGTCAAAACGGACAACGGAGAGCCTGAGCAAACCTACGTGAGATTTCACGGTCCAAAGACGAAACCTCGTACTTTAAAAAGGCAAATAGCAATAAAGCACTGACAAATAACTATATTATTTGTTTCGAGGATGCTTTAAGACTAAAATCTCAGCAATGTAATAAAGATTATGCTGAACCGACAACACGTGGAGTTCACTATAAGGTAGACACAGCTCGTATTAGTGAATAAGAAAGGGCACAACAGTAAAACATTGAAGAGAGCCAAAACGTACGGTTGCGTTACGCCACAGATATTCATAAGAATATTACCTCAAAGACAATGTCTGTTATTGAGGTACTGCATGGGATAGTATCCTATTTCACAGCACTCTCAGTTGCACTCACTTGTTAAAGTATGGGTGGAAATTGATCGAGCGCTCTTGTACAGGTGACAACCTGCTCTAGATCTGCCTTTCCCCGAATTCCAAACGAACAGGGATGGGCGGGTGGGCCGTTACTGCTATCTTCCTGAGCGCTTGATCAAATTTGTCGAGAATGCAGTGAGAATGCCTCCTATTTTATAGGAGCCAAGGTCCCAGAGGGTTTACACACTTCATTAGAATGCATCATGCGTAAAATTCCTACTTTCACGCCTTCGTGCCTTCTTTTGAGAGCTGAGAATAGTAATTGATAGCCTGCATGTGGCCATTAATTAAATAGAGATTACTTCATGGTTGGCGAGTTCGTACGATTTTTATGCACGAGTTGTGAAGGATCGCAATACAAACGAGTGAGCGCAGCGAACGAGTGAGTTTGCGATCCTTTGCAACGAGTGGCATTGAAAGTGGCAAAAGTGGCATTGTGTAAACCTCCACATGAGTTAAGCATATTGAAACAGTTAGCATGCATGGTTAAATTTCCGCACGTTCAAGAAAATTTTACAAATATCAAGGCAAAGTGGCTTATTTTTTCTCAAATCACTGAAATTATTTCTCACTTTGATAATCAGAAACTTTGTTTGATCGTGTAAACTGAGCTTAAGCTTTATGAAAATACTATATATATATATATATATATATATATATATATATATATATATATATATATATATATACATATATATATATATATATTTATTGTATACATATATATATATATATATATATATATATATATATATATATATATATATATAAATATATATATATATATATATATATATATATATATATATATATATATATATATATATTATATATATATATATATATATAATATATATATATATATATATATATAGTTGATCGAAGGTCAAAAGCTAGACAAAGTAGAAAACTTCAACCTCGGATGGAATGAAGTGGAAACTACCAGCTAGTAATGTTTGCGTATTGCTGGCTTGAAAACTGTAACCAGAGGGAGGACGGTATGTGTAGCCAAAATGTGTACCCGAGGATGTTGACTGATCAGCATTGTTTGCAATGTGGATGTCGTTACCACCTCCAAAAATTGGACCATGACTAGAACTTGTGTATATAGCCCTGTGACTGTTTTGGTAGACATCAGCTTTAAATGGTTTCAAATTGTCTTGATTTTGAAGAGAGAAAATGAACGATTTTGTGCTTGTTCTGTACCCACTCGATCCTATAAAATACCGATTATGCAATCAGAATTGTAGAGACAATCGCATTTATCATCAGTGCTCGTATATGTATAAGAAAGATCATCGTGTATGCTATGGCATGGCAGCCTCTACACAACTTCGCATCAAATATGGCATAAAAAAGGCTTTCGTAATAATTCTTGGGCTCACTAACAAGCTCACTTGTCTGAACTCTCGGAGCATCAACATGGACGCCCCATCACCTCAACTGTTGGAGATGTCATGTCACTAGCTGCCGTCTTGTGTAAAAAACCCGACTCTTCTAAACTAATCGGTCGCGTGAGATTGTAACGTTTTCACTGCATGCCGTAAACGGAGAGGTGACAAGTGAGAAAATGTTGATTGTACTTTATTAGTAAATCGAAGTACATAAATTCGGACTATTTTTTAGTGGAGCATAAGGGACCAAGGTGCAGATTAAGCTCGTAGCACTGGAAGCAACGCTTCACCCTTAAGCTTACAGTCGCGGCAATAGAAGCGTTCCGTTTTTGCTTCATTATTGAGCAACTCTTGTTTGGTAAATCAAATTTGAATTACTTAATTCCTGAGCCACCCTGATAGGTCAATTAAAGCATGAACAGAAAGTAAGGAGTTTTTTTATCAGTAGGGGGCTGTTGTATAAAAACGTAGTTAACTTTTAACTATAGTTAGTGACAGAATTGACCAAATCAGAGTCATGTATTTCTGAGTTGACTAAATTGAAAGTCAATAAAATAAAATTCAAACAAGACATGGAAGAGTGAAATTGGAAATTTTCGAGTTTATTTCAAAGTAATCCTCAGACAGAATGAAGATTACTGCGAAATAAAGTCGAAAATTTACAGTCTCAACATGTGTCTTATTTCAGTCATATATTATTGACTCTCAAGATATCTTGTCTATTCGGAATTTGTTTTTTACTATCCGCATTATGTTTATATACATAGTCTTTGAAATTGTGGCACAAAATTTTGTGGCAAAAAAGTAAAAGTGCACTATTCGTAAAAATTATGTGTTATTATAATTATTCGTGGGATTTGTATTTTCGTTTACGTTTCCTTCTGGAGTCGCTCCTTTTTTGGTCGAGTCGTGCCCAGTCGTGACTCGCGCCTACTTGTCGCAACTCGCGAAGGGCGCCAATTAGACTATCTCGCTTGGAAACGAGGCGTGCGATGTAATTTATTGTTAGTATGATGGTTTAGCATTGCATGCCCAACAATAACTTCGGGAAGTGTCTATTTCCTGGCATTGCGAACGGTTGTCAGGGCCAATAAGCCGCCGCAATTAAGTTCCGGCCAAAAAGTCAAGCTCGTTTCGGGGAAAACATGCAATGACACAGCTTTACTGCTTGGGAATTCAGTTGACGCGGTTAAAAAGCTGCTAAAGTTAATGACAAGTTCTTTAGCGAGATTGTAGACAGTGTTGTTCAAGAGCAATTGGGTCCCAACATCTCTGATCAGTCTGCTTAAGTCGAATGAAATTGAGCGAGGAAAGCGATGGAAGCTACATGTATAAATTGTGAAATCTGGAACATCCAGCAACAAGGTCTCGCAATATACGGCTTCTGAGAGTCTGTTGGGGGAAACCAAAGGCGCAGAAGTGTCAAATGACAGTGGAAAAATCATCAGCTTTATGCAGTCACACTATTTGCTCAGAGATCAATAGCCGCGTCGCCGCGCATTGATCAGTAAATATGTAGGGATCATGTGTCAATTCAACCTCGTACCCAGGGTCTTTTCTCTGTGCTCACTCTGGGTGTACAATACCAGGGTCTTCCCCCTAGAGTGAGCACGGAGAAAAGAACCTGGGTACGAGGTGGGTGTCAATTGCAATCACAAAATTTATCTTTGGTGATGATGTCGCACCAAGATATTATTGCATCGACCAATCGAGTCACCCAAGTCTGCTCGCAGTCACATTCCAAGAAAATGCTTCCGTGCATATTTAAAAAACGTACGGGGGAGGTTTAGGTTAAACAACAACTTCTGCAAAAGAAAATGGGGCAACCACAAATCACATATTTAGAGCCAGTTAACATTGACTGGGGGTCCACGTACGCGGAGGGGGTCCAAATTCGCTGTAACACCAGCACAAATTGCTCCCGTTCATTACGTAATTACAACTGCTTTACACTGGTTACTAGGTGATGCAGAAAAAAATTAAATTATGGCTATACACTTACCTCCCCACGAAACATCTGTGTAACCTCCAAATATGTATGATTGAACTCTAATCATGGTAACAGTAGGTCCTTTGTTATCGCAAGCGCTGTGGAACGTATAACTGCTCCAGCCGTCTCTCGAACTTTGATAACACAACACCAAACGACGGTGAGGTGGCGGCAACCATTGTTTCAGTTGAGTTATAAAACTTGGCTTTCCGATCAAAATCTTGCCGGGGTAATCTACAGAGCATCAAAAATTAAATCAAATGACTTGAGTTATGTTAGTTTTAACGGCAATTTATATAGCGGGTTTAAGGTATACGCGTAGGGCGGGCCGGTGGCGGTCGGCAGAGCGTATCTTTTCATTTTTATCTCATGTTATGAAATATGAAATATCATGTTGCATTATAGTGTCATGGGCATTCAGGCATCCTTTATAGTCTGAATATACGATCAGACATTTTTCGAAAACTAAGTTGAAATTTTTTTTCATTTACTCGAGTTACTAAATTTTGAGCCTTTTCTCTTCATTAATTACTTCCGGCTGAAACCATGCAGGTTTTTTCACTTCAATAAGAAAATGAAATAAAATAAAATTAATAGGCTCAGAGTATTACAGCTGAGCAAATCAAGTTTTCATCGACTGGCCTCATGAATTTTAAAGAATGTATTTTTTGAGGCTTATGGGGACTTATTTAGCCAAAATGGCGATTACTCTAAGTTTTATATCTTAACTGTATAATTAAACATATGAATAACGATTAACAGAAGTTGGACGCCGTTACATAGAATGTAAATTATTATAGTGCATAAGCGACGATAAATTTGTCATCAGTTTCTGCAAATGTACTTTACATAACTTACGGATAAGATCTAACAAGCTAATCATTTGCTCCAAGAAATCCAGCTTTGCAAGTGTTTCATTACTGAACGTGAATACCTATAGTTAAACATTTATAGTTCATTATACAAAAATAATACTCAACAATTATCAAACGTTAACTTGTGTACCTGCATATGGTTCATAGCACCGGATACGTGTACGTAAATATAATAATTGAAAGGCGTCCTCTGTGCATGCAGCAGTATATGTAGACAATATAGTGTATATAATAAAAATATTTGGATACTGTACACAGTATACAGTAAACATGGAGTGAGATACTAAAATATATAGCAAGATACTTTTGAGATATTGACTTGTGAACATTATTACATTGGCAGGCACGACATTTCACGCAAAATGCATTGTGTTTACTAGGTGTAGTTGAGGTTCGGTTATAGATTTGAAGCAAAATAGTGAGATTTATTACATGCACATGCAGCTAAGAACAGGAAGCCTAATATCATGCACTATATTTCCAAGACGCTGTCCCGACTGTATTTAAAGAGACCACTTGGAACACCAGCATTCGTCTTGTGCATGTCACCAAAAATGTGCACATTGCGAAAGATACAATCACAATGAAACAAAGAAACAATGTGCCATTGTTCTTTAAATGCAAATGTCACAAGCGAAATGACATTTAGCTTGTGGGTAAGAATATTTTTAAAATAATAAATTTGCATAGAGCGTTATACTGATAATTCGTTCTCAAAGATTGGAAGATTTTCTGAGTTAAAAACAGTTCTTTTAGGAAGCTGATAATTTTGAACGCAGCAATTCTACTTGTCCCACAACGGAAATATAAATGAAATGCATGCAGATATGTATACCTCAGACAAGCCACAGCCATTTTCAGTGTCACCAATTTCGGGTAACAACGTACCATCCAAACATTATTGAACCTGTGTTGACTCTCTCCTATACCCTATTTTCATGCCTTTAAATCCATCTTTAAGTTTCCTTTGCCTAATATTTAGATTTAGAAATTTCTTATACCAAAGACTTCTTACCTGTTTATCTAACAAAAAGATTTTGTCTTCTACATTTTTGACCATCTCTTTTTCTGCAATAATTTTCCATGTGTCATTTTTCCTTAAGTAAAGCTGTTCAGTATCCTTCTGATACGCTAAAATACCACTGATATTTGGTACTTTATCATGGGTTTCAGCATCAGGAACAACAACAATCTTAAAAAGTAGCAACCAAACGTCGCACATCTCTTAGAACGATAGATGAAAGCTCTTCTCCGCGATGAGATGCATAAATTATAAACGACCTTATTATTAGCATGATAAAATTACTGGATGCTGATTGGTCGAAAGGAATACAGTTATTTCATGAATAGCATTACAGTTCAATTAAAGATTTTGAAAAAATAAGCGAAATGGAAGAAAGACATTCGTCTATAAATTTAAAGCTGAAAATTATGTCCCAAAAAGCAAAAGATCGCGATAAAGTACCATAAAAGTTTTACGATTCTATCATGCTAATCATAAACATAATGCGATGTTGCTCGTACAATTAAGGATTAATAGTATGGGCGATGCCCATCTTAGCCTAACAACACTCATACTATTAATACTGAATTGTATACCGGGATCATGATGCATTCAGGGAGTTTTTCTTCACTGACCTAAGATAACAAAGGAATTTTTTATTCTGCCCAATTTTTATCCAAATCTGTAAACATAGGGGTTGGGTGTGGGGTTTTAATTTTGCAACGATTATTTATAATTGGCTTACCCCGTCGTTTAAAGTTGCGGCATCGTTATTTCCACAGCGACCCTATATAATATGTAAAATAGTCTAGATTAACATCAAAGGGAAAGCTTTTCTTAAGAAGTTCAGTTCATAGAAAGCTATACCTTCACAGGGATATTTCTATCGCCGACCAATTTATACCAAGCTGCATCACCATTCTCTTCTTCAGTCTTGTACTCCATGCATTTTTCCCAGACTTTCCGGGGAGGATTCAATCTTACCCAAAACCTGGCGCGAGCATTCTTCGTAATTGTACCACCCTTCTTGACCTTGCATTCCTTGCCACAATACACACCACTGCCTCCGGCTGGGCCATAGCAAGCACAGCACTAATTGAAAATCGATTTGGCGTCGTTATACATTTTATAAACAAATTGCTTCATGGTTGACTCGTTTGTACGTTTTTTATCATGCACACATTGTGAATCTCGTGCATAATCTATATTTATTTTTCGCTATTGAAAAGTTAACTATACGACAATGTATACAAACTTCGATGATAAAAAAATGCAAGGTCCTACAAGGTCCTTTATTACAAGCAGGTCCTATAGGAACAAATATTGATATGGTTCTCACTGGGAGTTCCACCAAACAACACCCTAATAATCATAGCCGTAGCTAGAAGCTTAATTGGGGGAGGTGTATATAAAAAGTTTATATACTTAGCGATATAAAAAGTTTATCATGGTATCGTAAAATAGTTGCAACAAAAAAGCTCTTAAAATTTCGTGTATTCTTAAAATTTATCATTAAATTCTACAAGATGCAAATTCCTACGATATATAACTTTAAAAGGCGTTACAGTAATTGTTAGGTTCTCAAAATTTTATTAGCTACCTTTTTTTTGTCACATCCAAAAAATGCTGTTAAACCGTCACTCATTCCAGAATTATTACCAGCAAGAAAACTAAAAAAGAAGTTCAAAACTTTCAGTCATTGTTGAAACATTTCCTACGAAATAAGATGTGAAAAGGAAAGATCGACACCAGTCATTGGCGAAATATATGTATTAATCCTATATATAAATTACAAAAATAGACTAACAAAAAAAGCATACTTTGCAACAATGTTACCTACCTAAATCCACCAGAAAAGTCAACCTGAATAGGATAAAGAGAGTGATAGGCAAATCCATTAGAACATGGCCTTTCCAAGCAAGAATTCATCATGGACTATATATAAAAGCAAAATATATAAAAACGTTATCCACAATTGCGTAGAGTCTGAGCAAAATAAGAATGTTTCGATAAACGAGCACGAATAGGATGATGCGAGCACTGTTCTTTAGACATGCATTTACATATATATTAAACAGTCAATAACGATCAGCCAATAAGGACTGAGTAATACGTTGATAGACATTTTAGTCATATGATACTATTAGCATGCATGCACATGTGAATAAGCCCAAGAATAATCAGATATAGGCAAGCTTTCATGAAAGGGTTAAATCGGTTTGTTTATACTGTAAAATTGTGAAATATTGCTGAACAGAATCATGAATTTATATAGTACGGAGAAGTTATGCTGAAACTGCAGGTTTAAGTGAGTAATTTATCATGTAAATACCATTCCGTATCATATGCGCGTTTATAAATGCCTCTGGGTGTTAAATTTAGGCTTTATATATAATTTATCTTACCTTAGATCGAATTTTTTTATTTATAATTCAAATATTTATACGATACCTAATATTATGTATGATTTATGAACTTACGAAACCAAAGAAATTCTGTATATTAATTCGATTTTTTGTTACTCTTGTAATCTTGTGCTACTTCCACTTACCCAACCAATCATAGCAGAAGGATGACTGTAAGATCCAAACACTGAACAAGAAAATTCTCTGGAAGCAATTTCTTTAGTCATCAAATTTTTCACGTAGGAAATGTCGCCTATTCCGGGAAAATGATTCGAACACCCACCGTCATTCACCATCAATAATTCTTTCAAAGAACGTTTGTTCTTGAACCGATAAGACCTGAAAGATTTTTTTTCATTTATCACAGTATAATAACATACGTGATGCTTACTTTTGTGTGTATCCCTGACAAAATCACCACCTTCAAACGAGAAAAATGCTTTGGCAGTTCGTTTGCAATTGAAGGTACAATATTAATAACAAAAGCAAGTATACCAAATAATAATGCTTTTCCATATATAAATCTATAGCTTTTGTTGTTATAGGTTTTGTTATAATTGTTTATGGGTTTTGTTATATAATCCATGTTGATTCTCCGATCATAATACCATGCACATTAACCGAAAATGTTTGTAATTACCTTGTGCATTACACAATAATATATACGTCTAACATATATGTAAATAGCATTTCCAATTGGAATTTAGTCTTTAATTAATTAGCCTTTTTTGCCTTACCAATGTGCTATGGTCTGTGTATATTGTGCATCTGTAGCAACCTGTATTCTTAGGTCCAAGATAGAGACGTCACCAAATGCACTAGAAAACTGAGGAGTACCAAATGGCTCTACTGTAGAGTTTCTCGATGGAACATTCCAAGTGACAGTATTGTTCATAATCCCGATTAGGATATACCCCCCACCATCTGTGCTCATGTCGCACCACACCTGTAAAATGTTAGCAAATGCTGTCGTGGCAGAAACTAAATTCAATGAGCTAGTCGCCGCTTTAACACTACCACGTTTCTGAGCTCAGCGGGGCTTCAAACCTGCATGGCGCAGATGCCATTCTTTAATCTTTTTGGTGCCAAAAATCAAGTTGTAAACGACGCATGCTACCTTTCTTGTGGATCTCTTGTGCCGATCACGGAGAACCAAAGAGTTTTAGATTTTCTTCCATTTCGTTGATTGCATGTTCTTGCAACTACTGAGTGCATGTATTTTTAACTAACCTTGTGTGGAACAGGACGATGAAAGTCTACCCAATAAAAACCGTCTTTTGCCTTAGTGTTTTGATTCAGTATTTCTAAGCAGTCGTAACCAGGATTGAAATATTCACCAGGAGGTTTCGAGCCTTCATTTCAAAATATGTTAGGAATTATTCAGAGTATTTCATAATCATAAATTGATCATGCGAAAAAAACACTAAGAATTATAGTTCGAAATTGCCGCTTAATGGAATCACAGCTATGACATGCATGCAGAGATTTCTATTACGTTACAAATTTATTTTGAAATTTTCGGTGTGAAACGGTGTGAGAGTGATATATTCAGAGAGCTAGCATGCACTAAAGCTTCAAGGTCCGCTATACAGCGAAGCATTTAAATGATAGCATATAGGGGATAGCTGTGGCCAAATTTAATTAATGTTTATAAAATGATTTCATATACCTTCATGCAGATGTATAATAAAACAAATTAAGAGACGTTTCCCTCCGTTCTTTTCACACGAGTACGTACACCTTATGGTCGTAATGCCTGACCTAAAGCTGGCTTGAAAAACGCCTGCAGATGCCAGTTGTAAAAAATTGAAGCTTTTACACATACACATAGCTTGCAAGGAATGATGCATTTGCGAAATCGAGTGTTTGCTTGAAATAAAGAGGACCATTATTACATGATATTTTTAATTTTTAAATACGGTATACTCCTACCATCTGTTGTTTTCCAAGTGTACACTCCTTCATCTTCAGTGCAAACCAGGATAGTATCCTTATTCTCACGATCTTTCACCAGGACGAGCTCACCACGGTTGGCTTTTGCGCAGGTTCCAGGATTGTAACTATCACGAACTGTCAGTGACTGTTTGAAAAAATCAACTACAGTGAGACCGATCTAATCAGAATCAGAAGCGGAGTGCTGCCATTGATCAAGACGAAAAAGATGGCAGCTTCTTTTGTCTGCCTGCCTTTTTTTTATTAGCTACCTGAATCGTGCCAAGTTAAATGTTCACCTGTTGTAATAATTGCAAGATGAAGATCTATCTGCACACACAATCTCCCCATCTTACCTTCAAGGGAATTGCAGGGAGAAGCACCAACGCGGTAATGTAGAATTTTAAAGGAAGCATCTCAATGGGCCTAAAGTGCAAGGGATAAATTATAGGTGTATTATAGTATACTGGGAATCTATTTCCTTCAAATCTTTAGGCTATATCTGGCATGTACTATATAGGTGTCAGTAGCGTATATAGCCAGCCTGACATATAGCGGGACAAAATTGTCACGGAGGCTGGCTACGCACTGCCAGGTCAAAGCACATTTCCAGACAGTGGCGTAGCCAGCCTGAAGATTTCGTTTTGTCCCGCTATGTAAATTTCAAGCTAATGTAATTATTCATGGCTTTAGAAATTTATTAGTTTTCACAGTCAATGAACACCAAAATATTAGCATAGCGACACAAATCGTGCAGGCTGTCTACGCTACTGTTCAGGTGAAGTTAAGACGTTGAATTGAAAAGGAATGGGAGCCTAAAAAACCATAGTATTGATAGTTGTTCGCGTTTTAGCTATTGCAATGTTTTCGTTCTTACATATCTTTGCATGCATGGAACAGGCGGTACCCGGTTGCTTAACTTATTACTATCCTGCTTATACTAGCTCGTTATTTTCCCATGCGGTTTACAGATACTAAATTTAACTAACTTTAAACACACATTTGTATGATATGTATCATGTACGATACGACAGAAAGTATCCATTACCTAATACATATACGCGCTCAAATGAGACAGCATGCAATACCCACAACTGAACACAAAGTCCAATTGATTATTGATCAATCAACACATCATTAATTCGTTTACTATATAATCATTAGCTGACCTGCACGTTCCAGCGTGTTTGTTTCAACTTTCCTTACCAAAGTTTAGATTTATTAGGTCTCAATTTCACAAAGAATTGCACTTTTAATTTCAAATTTATTATTTGTTATTGTTCAGATTAGGTGAAAACGCAGAGCGAGATAACTCAGGATGCATGGCTTCTGAATCTTCTTTGCCCAACCGAAATATGCGCGCCCAGTTTCCTTTAACTATATACCAATAAGTAAGAATACCAGCGATTTTCGAACTCTGTGTTCATCGCCAACACAAGATGTCTATACGATGCATCGCTTGCTTACCACAGCTTTTACTCACCTAAATAGCAATCCTACAGTTTAAGGTGATTTTCGTTTTGAAAACGTCCTTCCCTGATATAACAAAACCAAACAGAGTTCAATGTAAATAACGTTGCCTTGTCTTTGAGAACAGCTGATGACCAATAGCATCGGGAGATATACGAAATTGCGCTCGGGTTTCAGGTTTCATACTACTAAACTAATCAACACTCGCCATTGGGGGAATGATATAATTATAAAAGAAAAACACTGATGCATGATATTGCTATGTGATGTTGTATTAATTCAATGGATTAATGAAAATAAAGTAAAAAATAAAGAAGGCGCTATCTATTCGTAGTATTTAGTGCCAGGTTACTCTCATTTGATATAGCTACAGTATAGCTATAATAACCTAAATCTTTTGTCTCGAATTCTTTCACGCAATCAACACCAACCGCAGAAATGCTATTTCTCAATCACTACTTAATTATGTCCCTATTCTTTTTTGCAGACTTGTTTCAGACTCATTCAACTTCCTTTATCTAAATTTGGATCCCTGAACCATGCACCAAAAAAACCTGTCTTGTAATTGCACTCTCGATTTTGTATATAATTTTTGTTGTCAGTAACATCGCATGATGGGGTCGTGACATCGCACACAAATGCCCTGTCAAACCTTCCCGAGAGGCCCGGTATTCGGTATACACATACTTTGTGAAAACCCTAAGGTTTTAACTTACTCATAACTCGCTCCATTGGTATGATGACTGTACATTACGGTTATGTACTCTCCGATCTTCACATTGTACGTGAAGGCTTCTCTGTTTCCACTGACATAGCCAGTGTTATATTCTCCCGAGAGTACTTCCTCTGTCTCACAGCATTTCAATGCGTACATTCGATCAGAGCTGGTCAGACCATATCAAGAGGCCTCCATTCCTGATTACAAACAATTGCAAGAATGGTTACTGACTTACTGATAAAAAACGACGCACAAACAGCGCGATTACATGCATGCTAAAATCAGCCTGACTTTAGAACTACTGTATTTTTCATGTGGGTACAACACGTTGGATCATTTTTGATAAGTGTAAAGCGCATAAACATCTAGATAAATGCTCTTCTTGTAATTTTTCATTGTGATAACAAGTACATAATCTGTTAATTGTTAGGTCAAAATGAAAACAGAAAGCGGTGTAACAAACCCCCTATTCAGGTTCAAATGGTATGTAGTGAATATTAATATATTATACATTGTATATCAGGATCAAATTGAATGTTGATCAAATTGTACAATTTTAATGCATGAGAATGTTAGAGTAGCTCGCCTGTTATCATTCCGGTGTTACAATTCCAATTCAAATCTGTGTCGAAGCCATTCAAATACACTGTCCAAAAGCACGCGTAATAACGATCAGATTTTCCTAAAGACAGACAAAAAAAACCAGTGAAGGTGTGTTGAAATATTTCAAAGAAAATCGAGTGGATGAAAGGGATTCGGGAACTAGATAAAAAAATAAGGAGTTCGGGAACTTAATGTTTTGGAAATTTAAAAGCAACGAGTGCTAGTAAGCCTCAACCATAGGAGAGATTTATTTTCTACAACTTCCTATAATTTTGATATTTGAACTTTCTAGGGATATTCCGACATGCATGGAACCTTTATCCAGCTATTGGTGCAGGGTTTTTACGAACAGAGAGAACTAAGAACTTCATTTGCAACAAAATATATGGCTGAGGATTTCTTAGCTATACGGACTGGCATTCCACTCCGCGGCCAGTAACTGCAAGACGATCATTATCGAGCAAGCGTATATAGGAATAACTTTCATGGGCTTTTACTGGTGTTCATGACGATTCCGACATCAATACACTCTGTTAGGCTCCAGTTAGGTCACTATATGGTAAGTTTTAGGATTTTGTGAGTAAATTAATAAATAAAAGGAAAATTTCGTACCTGGACACTCTCTTACCGATCGACTGACTAAAGGCGTCTCAGGTAATCAGTTCACCAGTCCAGTGGCGGCGAATGAACATACACAGATCAGTGAGCGTAAGGTAAACATAACGATCTATACAAGTATGTAAAAGTCAACTGGAAAATGCTTACATGAAACATTTAAAGTCATTGCTTTAATAAAGTCGATAGCTAAAATCTTCGACCTTGTCGCAACAGCGACTTGAATTACGCAGCGTCAACAACAGGGTATGTAAAAGTGTACATTAACTTTTTTGCTGTCAAAAAATTGTGTTAGGGCAAGTATTTGTGCATGGTGGCCAGTATTTAAAAGTTCAAATGCATGCACTAGCAAAAAGTGAGTGATACTCCCCGTTAGAGCTCGTTTTCCCCTGGGTAAGTCTCACGGTGTTTTTTTCAGATTATCAAAAACTGCAAGCAGTATAATTTACTATCGTTGCACAAAAACAAAACAGTGACCAAATAAAATTTGTTATTCGCTCTATTTTAAGCCAATAAATTCGCAGACTTATTGACACAGAATGCCTTAATCACGCAGTTCATCCTCTCAAAAACGCCGTCCCTGACAACTATGGAATTGACACTAAAATTTTTGGTAAACCGAGGAGTACAGTCTAGAAATGTTTGAATATAATTCCGAGAACACGAGAAGTTGATCTGAAATTATTATGCAATTTCGCGGATACCATTATTTTAGAGAGTAAGACTAGAACATAGAAACTTACCTCTCAGGCTAATAGATTTCGTATATTGATTGATCTAGGCGTTGCATGAGCTCTCAACAACAGCTTTACTCGACACTAACGGTTCAAAATTATAACACGATATACATTTTAATATTCCCGGACTTCATTAAAATCATGTAGAATTTGTGGTTATTGTGCGCGGTTTGCGCTTAAATAAAGATGCCTCATTGTTAACAACGATCGTTTCGTCGCCACTAAAGATCATGCAGACACTTGTTATCGGCCACTAACTTTTATCATTATGATTCCGCCGTGACAAGACCGCATCGACCAATCAGTTACGGTAGGACTTACGGTCTGCAGCGCAGGATAACTTTGAACACATGCAATCGGCACTGCCACGAAACTCGTTTGAAATGAGATATTTGTGAAAGCCAACATGGATATGCCACAATCATCTTGTGTTGTTATTTTAGAAACATTGAATATCAAACTTCAAATCCTAGAAGCGCTCTCTGCGATGCTATCCGCAGTATCTACCAATGCATACAAGGCATACAACTCATACAAGCTGTAAATTTCCATGTTGCGCGAATGCGCGGTTACTAAGTTTCGCAATTGGTCTGTACTAAACAATTTACAGTTTTGGAAGTCTTTTGTTCGATGCTAATTTTCCCCTCTAATTCTTCCCAAACTACTTTTCATTGCTGTAAATATTTTCATTGCTTGTTACAAATTGCGTGTTCATGCTTATATCTTAATATCTACATTAAATTCCAATTCCTTTGATATTGTGGGACTGTTTAACTTCGTCAGCAAGTGGCCGCATAACATTGCGTGTGGTGAAATAAAGGTATAGGATAAGCTTTAGGCAAATCTGTTTCACTTCAGCCGCATGGTTCGCTGGTTTCTCATGGCTTTTATCTTCATTAATCTTGATATGTATCTGATTATGATTTATTATATGCATGAACATGAGTGTTATATATAGAGTTTTACGCCACCGAGAAAAATCGTATTTAAACACACGTGAAATTACGATATATTTGTACGTGTAAAAATTTTCGCAAGCCAATCAAAAACCGCGTAGGAAATATATTTGACCAATCAAAAAACCTTTCCAGCTCACAGTTTCCGTTCGTTTTTTATTTCATACCATATTTATATACACGTTCACGACTATAACAAAAAGCGCATTTTACTGAACATCGTTATTTTAAATGTGTGCCCTTCAATACATACTTGTTTTTGAGTTACTAAGAATCGTCGTTCGCTTATTTTTTTTCCTGTTGAAGAGAATATTGCTTCAACGAGAGAGCTTTTATCCAAGCTCGGAAGTTGCGAAGCTCTTTCCTCGCATTGCGAACGGTTGTCAGGGCCAATAAGCAGCCGCTATTAAGCGTTCCGCCCAAAAAGTCAAGCTCGTCTCGGGGTAAACAATGACACAGCTTTACTGCTTGGCAATTTAGTAAATTGACGATGTTAAAAAGCTGCTTATGTCAATGACAAGGCCTTTGTGTTGTTCAAGAGTTGGACCAAAAGCAATTGCATGGATCCCAACATGTCTGATCAGTCTGCACAAGTCGAATTAAATTAAGCGAGGGAAGCGACGGAAGCTACTGTACGTGTACAAATTCTGAAATCTGGACACAACCCAGCCTTCAACAAGGTCTCGCAATATATGGCTTCAGAGAGTCTGTTGCTAAAAGGGTAAATGCTACTGATTCAGCTACTTAAAATTCGGGGGCAAGGCAAAGGCGCAGTCAAATGACAGTGGAAAAATCATCAGCTTTATAATCGACGCAGTCACACTATTTGCTCAGAGGTCAATAGCCGTGTCGCCGCGCATTGATCAGTAAATAATTATGTAGGGATCATTCATGTGTCAATTGCAATCACAAAATTTATCTTTGGTGATGATGTCGCTAAGAGCTATTTTTTAGCTTGCCCGGTTGGCAGGTAACAACACAGTTAACAATTAACATCACAATGTTAATTATGAACACGTTTAATTACATTTCAGCGGCACACTCAAACAAAAGATCCACTGATATATACTTTGGAAATTGTACGATTATCACATAAATAATTATATAAATCAAACATTGCTGAAACCAAATGACTCTATGAAATATAATTTCTTTTTCAATCCAAAGCAAAATTTTTATATTTAGTACATAAACGTCGTGATTTTCTGCATGCCTTTTCATACCGTTTTTAAATTAAAACGGCATTATGTAAACCTCCACATGAGTTAAGCATATTGAAACAGTTAACATGCATGGTTAAATTTCCGTATACGTTCAAGAAAATTTTACAAATATCAGGCCAAAGTGGCTTATTTTTTCTCAAGTTACTGAAATTATTTCTCACTTTGATGATCAGAAACTTTGTTTGATAGCGTTAACTGAGCTTAAGCTTTATGAAATACTATGTATATAGTTGATCGAAGGTCACAGGCTAGACAAAGTAGAAAACTTCAACCTCAGATGGAGTGAAGGAGTAACTACCAGCTAGTAATGCTTGCGTATTGCTGGCTCCATAATTGTAACCAGAGGGAGGACGGTATGTGAGGCCAAAATTTGAGTGCGAGGATGTTGACTGACCAGCATTGTTTGCAATGTAGATGTCGTGACCACCTCCAAAGATTAGACCAAGACTAGGGCCTGTGTATATTGCATTTTGACTGTTTCGGTAGACATCAGCTTTAAATGGTCTCAAATTGTATCGGTTCCGCAAGGAAAATATGAAAGATTTTGTACTTTGTCGGTACCCACTCGATCCTATATATAAAAAAACCGATTACGCACTCAGAATTGTAGAGACAATCGCATTTAGTATCAGTGCTCGTATATATAAAAAAGATTATTAGGTATGCATGGCATGGCAGCTTCTTTACACAACTTCGCATCAAATATGGTATTAAAAATCAAAACTTTTTGACTTTTCGACATACCGGCCTTCGTATACTAATTTTTGCTAACTTTCTTGACAACGGAACCTGACTGGAAATAGTTTCCTCATTTAGTGTATACTTTTCGGCCAAAAATATCGTTCAGTAAAATTGTCCGAACTCTCGGAGCATCAACATGGACGCCCCATCACCTCAACCGTGTTAGAGATATCATGTCACCAGCTGCCGTCTTGTGTAAAAAACCCTACTCTTCTAAACTAATCGATTGCGTGACATCGTAAAGTTTTCACTGCATGCCGTAAACGGAGAGGCGACAAGTGAGAAAATGTTGATTGTAGTTTTTCTGCCCTGAATATATAGGGTTGATACATGTCATCGAAGGCGAATGACACCATACAGAAAGTCAGGACTGACATTGTTGCATTTTGAGAATGCCATCACTAGAGCAATTTCATTTGAACAGTTCTTGATGAAGTGGAACTCTAAACCTAGACGATTAGCTGTGTCTGTGTAAATAGCAGGTGTTCAATTGACAGTTAATGCAGTGGCGTAGCCAGCATCGATAATTGGAGGGGGCCATATTCATATATTCATGTTAACATATATATTCATGTATGTTAACATATATTCATGTCACGAATATATGAATATTGGCCCCCCCAATTATCGTTCTGGCTACGCCACTGAGTTAATGAGTTAAAGTTCTAAGTAGTAATTCTTATGCTCAAATGTATATATATATATATATATATATATATATATATATATATATATATATATATACAGGGTGTATAAAAAAAAAGTAGACAATTTTGAAATGTTAAAAAAAATTTAAATTTATCAAAATATCTCATAGATTTATGCTAGTATGGGTACTTTACCATCTTCAGGTCATTCTAACACTAAAAACAAACAGAAAAATTAACCTCGAAAAATGGAAGAGAGGTTTGTGGAAGCATCATTTTGAATGGCTTGTGCAAACATGAATGAGAGGTTTAAAATCCAATTTGAATTCAAGGGCTGAACGTTTGGGTATTTGTTTACAAAGAATCGAAATTTCAGAAATTTTGATGAAAATTAAGTCAGCCGCGCAACTGCGTAAACGTGGGCTTTTTTCCGTTTAACTCGCAGCTTGAGTAACTTTTTTCATGCACGAATGATTTCATGCATGAGTGATTGCTCGGGTGATTAAACTAACAATGGTGTTGTGAAAAAAGTTACTCAAGCTGCGAGTTAAACGGAAAAAAGCCCACTTTTACGCAGTTGCGCGGCTGACTTAATTCTTTGTAAACAAATACCCAAACGTTCAGCCCTTGAATTCAAATTGGATTTTAAACCTCTCATTCATGTTTGCACAAGCCATTCAAAATGATGCTTCCACAAACCGTTCTTCCATTTTTCGAGGTTAATTTTTCTGTTTGTTTTTAGTGTTAGAATGACCTGAAGATGCCAATGTACCCATACTAGCAATGATTCTATAATATTTTGATAAATTTATAGTTTTCTAAACATTTCAAAATTGTCTACTTTTTTTTTATACACCCTGTATATATTCTCCCTAATCTTATATCAGAGCGGAAAGTTGTTAAATCATTTGTCCAACCATTATATCATTAACATTATACACAGAAGTGCGCGAAATGTGCTTTGTATCTTTAGTGGCTTGGCTCCTCCTAGGTTTTCTATGGCCCCCTAGCTTGGCCAAAAATCCTAGCTACGCCTCTGGATTGTACTTTATTATTGTATTTTACGAAACGAAAACAGTGTAAT